TCGACGCCTGCGCGCGGCGGCGCGCCTGGGCGACGACGCGCGAGCGGCACCACGGCGGGCCCTTCAACGCCGCCACGGCCGGGAGCCGCCTCGTGCCCCGCGACGACCTCGCGCGCGGGCCGGGCCGCGCGCCCGACGACGGCCGGCCCGCGCGGCCGCCCGCGGACCCGCTCGGCGGCGGCAAGCTCGCGCGGAGCTCCCTGCTCGCGGCGACGCTCGGCGTGCGCGTCCACGCCGACGGCTGCGCCGCCGACGCCGAGGAAAAGGAGGACGAGGAGGAGGCGAAGGCGCCGCCGTCGCCGGCGCGACGGCCCGCGGAGGCGGAGGCGGTCGCGCCCGCGGCGCCGCGGGGCGCGCGCGTCAAGGAGGCGTTCCTCAAGCACGACCTCTACGGCGACCGGACCATGCCCGGCGAGATGGCCTGGGCCGCGCTGCCCAAGGCCCTCGCGGAGGTCTGCGACGCGCGCTACGGCGCCGCGGACGTCGCGCGCGTCGCCGCGGCGCTCGACGTGCCGCCGCACTACCCCGTGGACATCGCCCAGTTCCGGCGCATCGTCGACGAGCTCGACGCCGGCGGCGCGCGCGACGCGGACCTGCGGCGCCAGAGCTGGGTCGACAAGGACCAGCAGCGGCGCGCGGCCGCGGCGGCCAGGTACCGCGAATCGCGCGCCGGCGCGGCGAACGCGGGCACCTTCTGCGACGCGGAGCCGCTCATGGACCCGGAGACCCGCGCCATCCGGCGCTCCGCCGTCCGCGCGCGCCACCGCCGCGCGCACGGGCGCGAGATCGACGACCCCGGGGTCTACTAAGCGACGTTGGGGACCGCACCGTGTGCGGATAAACGGGGGGCGACACCAGACCGCGACGCCGTCCAAGCGCGCGAGCATGGTGGCCTTAACCCCGCCAAATTGACGAGGGCGCTACTTACCCGACCCGTCGCGCGTGGGAAAAGGGCCGGGGGCCTAGGTCTTGGTGGAAGTCCGGGCAGCGATGGCGACCGCGCGCGCGCGCAGTGGCCGCGGTGTGCTCGAATCGATCTGTGATGCGCATCTCGACCTTGGCGGTCGCGTTCTTGCGTCCGATCTGGTCCATGGGTCCGTTCGACCTGCCTGGAGGCCCCAACACTAACGTGAGCAGCCCCTTGGCCAACCAGGTACACTCGATGACGCTGTGCGCCATGCAAGTCGTTCGAGGCCGCCGCGCGAATGGCTCCGGTCACGGCGCGGTCCATGGCGCGGCGCTGTGTTCGCCGACATACTAGAGCGTGGTACTCGCCGCTCGGCTGCGCGTGGTGCCACCCTGGGGCTGCCACAGAGGCGCTCGAAGCTGTGCCGCCACTGGGAATCGCCGCTCCGGCGCCCAAGCGTTCGTCGACACAGCCAATTCCCGCGAGCAGAGCACCTCCGGAGTCACCCATGGGTACGAGGTGTCCACCGCCGCCACCCTGACTCCAGGCGTCGCGCTCCATGGCCACGCGCGACGAGCCGGGCTGCCCCTCGAGGCGCTCCGGGGCTGCTGGATGCCGGCGGATTCGAATCCGACCAATGAAATGCTTGCATTATATCGATTTTGTCGATTTTCGACGCCTCCGAGCGCTCCGACCGCGTCGCCAGACGTCCCCACAAGTCCATTTACGCGCTCAGGGCGCTCACATCAGCCTATACAGTGATTTGGCGACGTTCCTGGGCCTGCTGGGCCGAGTTTGAGGCCGGTGTCACCCCCCGTGCGGATAACCACTCAAATTTCCTTCGGGGACTCGACTGACCGACATGGACGCCGCCCGGGGCAGCCCTCGCAGGGACGACGACGCCGCGACGACGCTCGCGCTGGAGCCGAAGAAGCTGCGGCGAGCCCTCTCGGAGACGGACGTCGCGAAACTTCGACGCGTCCTCCCGGAGGAGGTCCTCAGGCGCATCTGGCTCTACGCCCTGCCCCGCATGCGGCCGGCCGTCAAGGAGGAGCTCGCCTGGTGCTTCGTCGCCGCCGAGGCGCTGCGCGCGCGCCTCGACGCGGGCCGCTTCCTCGGCTCGCACGCGCTCGCGTCCGACGAGTTCTCGCGCGCGCCCGCCGCGGATTTCGGCCATCCGCCGCGGCGCAGCGCGACGGGCGCGTCCGTCGCCGCGGCGCTCCTCATCCGGCGCTCCGGCCGCGACGTGCGCCTCGGCGGCAGCGGCGCGCGCCGCACGCTCCACTTCCCGCGCCGGCGCCGGCGCCGGCGCGCGGGCCCGCGGCGCGGCGACGCGGACGACTCCGACGACGACGGCGACGCGGGCCTCGGGGGCCGCCCGTCCTGCTCGGCCTTCACCCGCGCCCTGTGACCATGAAACGTCCTTTGAGAGATTTTGGCGGGACGACGACGGAAAAATCGTCACTGTCATGCGCGGTAGGCCTTCACGCGGCACGCGGCCATGTTCATCTCCGCGATCCTCATCATCGCGCCGCAGATCTCCACGGGCGTCGCGCCCCGGACGCCCGCGCGCGCTCGGTCCCGCGCGCGGAGCTTCGACGACTAGCGGCCTAGGAACCGGCCAGGGCACCGGCCAGCCCCGGGGGGAGGGTGCGCAGCGCGGCGAGCTCGCCGCCGCCGTCGCCGCCGCTGCCGGCGCCGTGGTAGCGGAGCGCGCGCTTGTCGTTGGGCCGGAGCACCATGACGCCCGCGTTCCTGCTCGCGAGGAGCACGAGGCCCTCCTTCATCGCCACGGATCGCAGCTCGCCCGCGCGGTGGTGCTGGAAGCTCGAGAGGCAGACGCCCGTCTCCTCGTTGAAGAGGCGGAACGACCCGTCCTCGCACGCGACGAACACGAGTCCGTCGGCGCTCGCGCCTCCTACGATGCCCCCGCGCCGTGGGAAGCCCGCGTACTTGCCCCGCGCGACCTCCTTCGTCTCCAGGTCGCAGAGCGAGACGGAGTCGGGCTCCGTATCCGCGAGCAGCTGGCCTTTCGCGGTGAACGCGACGAAGCTGTGGCCGCAGCCGTCGAAGATGTGGAGCCGCTCGCCCGTGAGGCCGTTCCAGAGGCAGACGCGCTCGCGGCCCGCCGTCGCCGCGACGTCGCGGTTGGCCGTCTTGCTCATCTCGCCCTTGGCGGAGCCGCCGCCGGCGACGGTGACCTTGGCGTGCTTGGCCTTGGCCGTCTTGCTCATCGTCGAGCGCGTCGACGAAGAGCACGCAGGGCGTCGCCTCCGAGAAGCGCTTCGGTCGCAGCGCGCGGAGCGGCTCCGCGACGAGCTTGGACCAGGCGTCCGCGACGTCGCCGTCGAGGTCGTCGTCAGGGCAGCCCCGGTCGCGGCGGAGCGCCTTCAACCGCTTGCCGAAGCCCGGCACGCGCGCGCAGAGCTGCGCGGCGAGCGTCTCGACGATCCGCCGCGGCGTCGAGCCCGCGGCGTCGTCGTGGCGGCAGAAGTGCCACGCGGCCGCGCGGCCCCGCTGCGCGCAGCGGTCGAGGACCATGGCCAGCGCGACGGACTTGCCCGTGCCCGCCGCGCCCCGGAGCCAGCCGAGCTTCGGCGCGGCGCCGTCGGCGAGCCAGGCTTCGACCTACGGCGCGCGGTCGCTTGTTTCGGCTCACGCGCTCTTGCTATCACGCTGGCTTCGACGTCGGCGACGAGCCACTCGCGCGTGCCGCGCATGCGCGCGCGCCGCAGCGACGAGAGCGTCTCCGAGTGGTCCGCGGGCTCGAGGCGCAGGGCCTCGTCGACGGCCGCGGCGCCCGCGACGAGCGGCCGCGCGGCGTCGTAGGCGCCCACGGCCGTGGCGACGCTCTTCTTGAAGGCCGCGCTGCCGCCCAGGGCCTTGCTGCCGCGCTCGGCCTTGGCCCAGACGCGCAGGGCCGCGGCTTTGGACACGGTCTTCGGCTCGGCGACGAAGCGGTCGTCCCAGGCGTCGAGCCACAGGGCGCCGTCGCCCCCCACGAGTTGCTTGGCATCGTCGCGCGTGAGGCGCTCCGGGACGGACGCGCCGGCGCCCATCGAGCTAGCTAGCTAGAGATCGGGGCTGCCGCGCACCATGCGGCGGCAGAACTGCACGGCCTTCTTGACGTCTGCACTTGCAGGCAAGGTCAGCGAGCTCAGCTCAGCGGGAGAGCGCGCGCTCGAGCTCTCGGGCGCAATGGGCGGACCGTAGAGGCCCGGTTCCCCCCTCTATCGGATGTCGTCGGCGTCGCCGTCGGCGCGGAGGGTCGGGCGCTGCGGAGCCTGCGAGGGCTGCATGGCGCAGGAGTGCGGGAGCTGCCGGTTCTGCGTCGACATGGTGAAGCGCGGCGGGCCCGGGACGCTCAAAAAGCCGTGCCTGCTGCGGCGCTGCGTCGCCGCGCCGGAGCGGGGCGGCGGCGCGCTGGCCCACGCGCAGGCGCGCCTGCCGGCGAAGCGGCCCGCGGAGGGCCCGCCGCGCGTCGGCGACGTCGTCTGGGCGTTCTTGCACGGCGACGCGCTCCGTCCGACGCCCGCGCGCGTGCTCGCGGTCGGCGACGTCTACGGCGTCGCGGCCTTTGGCGGCGACGGCGTCGCCACGGAGGCGGCGCGCGTCCTGGGCTTCCGCGCCGAGTTCTCGCGCGTCCACGCGGGCGCGTACGGGGCCCGCGCGGCGCCGTCCTGGGACGCCGCGAGCCTCGCGGCGACGGAGCACCTCCTGCGCCACGCCCTCGAGGGCCTCGACGGCGAGCGCGCGGCGAAGCGGCGCGCCGTGCTCGACGGCCTCCTCGCGCCGCCGCCGGCCGCGCCGCCGCCCGCGCCGGCGCCTCTACGGCGCGCGGCCGCGGCGCCCGCGCCGCGCGCGCCCGCGGCGCCGTTGCAGCGCGCGCCGGCGGCGCCCGCGCTCCAGCGCGCGCCCACGACGCTCCAGCGCGCGCCCGCGGCGCCGAAGCGCGCGCCCGCGGCGCCGAAGGCGAAGAAGGCCGCCGGGCCGCCGAAGAAGAAGCGGCCGCGGCCGCCCAAGGACGCGCCGGCGCCCGCGGCCGAGGCGCCCGCGGCCGAGGCCGAGGAGATGCTGCCCTGCGGCGTCTGCCGCAAGTTCGGGGGCGAGCTGCTGCTCTGCGACGGCCGCGACGGCACGTGCCCGCGCACGGCGCACGTCGCGTGCCTGTCGCTCAAGAAGGTGCCCGCGGGCAACTGGTACTGCGCGGCCTGCCGCGCGCTCAAGCTCATCGCGCGCGCCGAGGCGGCGAACGCCGCGGCGAAGCTCGGCGACGCGACGACGGACAGCGACGGCGACGGCGACGCGTCGCCGCGGAAGCGGCCGCGGCCGCCGCCCGCGAAGAAGCGGCGGAAGGCGCGCAAGCGCGTGACCTGGGCCGCGGAGCCGGCCCTCGAGACCGTGATCCACATGGTCAAGGCCGGCCGCGCGCCGCCGCGCGACCGGTCGCCCGCGGCGAAGGCGCCGCCGCGGCCCGGCGGCGCGGCCCGCGCCGAGGACGCGCCGGCGTCGCCCGCGGCGGCGCGGCCGGAGGAGCCGGAGGAGTCCGCGGCGTCGCGGCCGGAGGAGCCGGAGGAGCCGGAGGAGCCGTCGTCGCGGCCGGAGGAGCCGTCGCCCGCGGTGTCGCGGCCGGAGGAGCCGTCGCCCGCGGCGCCGCCGGCGCCGCCGGCGCCGGCGTCGCCGCGGCCCGAGGAGACGTCGCCGCGGCCGGCGCCGCCGCCGACGCCGCCGCTCCCGACGCCGCCGCCGACGCCCGACGCGCCGCCGGACGAGTCCGTCGCGGAGCCGCGGCCCGCGCTGCCGCCCATCCCGGAGCTCGCCGCGGAGGAGCCCGCGCCGCCGCCGGCCGCGCCCTCGGAAAACGTCGCGGTGCTGCTGCCGCCCGAGCCTCTGGAAAACGTCGCCGTGCTGCTGCCGCCCGAGACTTCGGACGCGCGGCCGCCGACGGAGCCCGAGCCGGTGGCCGCGCGGCCGGCGGAAGCGGTCGCCGCGCCGCCGTGGCCCGTGGAGCCCTCGGCGCCGCGCGCCGCGCCGCCGGAGCCGCGCGCCGCGCCGCCGGAGCCGCGCGCCGCGCCGCCGGAGCCGCGCGCCGCGCCGCCGGCCGCGCCGCCCTCGAAGCCGTCGGTGCCGTCCGCGCCGCCGTCGGAGCCGATCGCGCCGCCGAGGCCGCCCGCGCCGCCGCCGGAGCCGTCGCCGCCGCCCGCGGCGAGCTCCGCCGCGCCCGCGCCGCCCTCGGAACCGGTCGCGCCGCCTTCGGAGCCGGCCGCGCCGCCGCCGGAGCCGGCCGCGGCGAGCTCCGCCGCGCCGCCTTCGGAGCCGGCCGCGCCGGCGACGCCCGCGGCGCCGTGCCGGCCCGAGGACCCGGCGTCGCCCCGCGCGCCGGACGCCGCCGCCGCCGCGCTCCAGTCGCCGCCCGGCTACCTCGCGGCGGTGCTCCGCGTGTCGCCGCTGCCGATCTCGCGCGAGGAGCACCTCGTGCCCTTCGACGACCTCGTCCGGCGCGAGACGGAGCGGCGCAACGAGGCCCAGAAGGTGTCGCAGTCGCAATAACACGCGCTTACTGGATCCACCCGCTGAGGGAGCCGCGGAACTCCGCGTCCGTCGGCGGCCGCGCGCGCCACGCCGTCGCCGACGCCGCCGGGCCCGCGCAGAGCACGACGTCGGCGACGCGGTCGTCGCAGGCCAGGCTCCCGGCCCAGGCGAAGAGCTTCCGCAGCATGAGCCGCCGGTGCGCGGCGTCGTCGCCGGCCTCCTTGGCGTGCGCCAGAGCGGCGGCGACGTGGTCGACGATCACCAACGGCCGCTCCTTCTGGCCCTCGAGCCCCCGGCGCAGGTGCTGGCAGAGGATCGAGAAGTTGACGGCCCGCGTGTGCGCCGGATCGTTGCCGACGATGATGTCGAACCTGCGGCCGCCGGAATCGTGCGTTTCCGGGCGCAAAAGACGCGGCGTCGGGACAGGACGATCCACCAGATGCCCATGGACTGCGCCACCGTGCCGGCGACGCCCAGCCGCTCGCTGGAGTAGATGGACGCCACGAGGCAGAACCTGGTTAAAATGCCACGTCGGCGCGGCGCGCGCCCGCAGACGCCGGAAACACACAGCAGATCGTGGGCGCTCGTCGCCTCGCGCAGCGTCACGTAGACGACGGGCCGCCCGGACCGCGCCGCCGCCGCCTCGTACGCGCGGCCCGCGCCATCGAAGGCCGCGACGCGCAGGTTCGTCGGGCCTTCCCCTAGCGCCGTCGCGGCCCTCCGCTCCGCGTCCGTCTCGACGTCGGGCGCCGTCGACGAGCGCGCGGCGACGGAGGCCAGGGTCGGCCCGAAGTAGAGGTCCCCGAGGGGCCAGGCGAGGATGGACCCGCTGACGACGAAGAGCATGCTGCCCGCCGTCGTTCCTAGGACCGTCGTCCCGCCTCGCGACGTCGTCGTCGAGAAGCGTCGAGGCGCATGTCGCTGCGGTTCCGCGGCTGATGATGTTGTCGCACGAGTGCGGACGAACAGGAAGGCGCGCCGCATCATGGCAGCTCGAGATGGCAGCTCGAGCACCGATCAGGCCGACGGTGCGGCTTCATCGCCCCTTGCACAAGGTTGTGGCCGTGAAATCAGTCCAACACGTCTGTGCGAGCGACGGAGCAGCAGCTTTGACAGCATGGCGGGAGAGAAATCGCTCACCATCGAAGAGGCGCGCCGCCCGCGTCCACCGCCGCGCATGCGTGCGCTGCGACGACCGAAACGCGCGCCGCTGGCGCCGCAAAACCCGCCCGCGCCGCTCCTTGAAGCCGCACCGCATACGCGCCGGCACGCCACGCCCCCTGCCTCAGGTCGCGGCGCACGACCAGGAGGAGGACTGCTACATCATCATCGGGAACAAGGGCAACGGCGGCCCCAAGGTCTACGACGTCACCAAGTACCTCGAGGACCACCCGGGCGGTTCCGAGGTCATCTGCGAGCTCGCGGGCAAATACGCCGACGACATGTTCGAGGACATCGGCCACTCGAACGAAGCGCGAAAGCAGCTCAAGGAGTTCCTCGTCGGCCCGCTCAAGGCGCGCCCTCGCCGCGCCCGCGCTCGCGCTCGGCCGCGCGGAGATTCGATCGCGACGTCCGCAGGCGACCGAGGAGGAGATCGCGGCGCTCGCTGGCTCGGGCGCGGGCGGCGGCGGCGAGGGCGGCGGCATGATCGCGCGGAGCGGCGCGACGCTTTTTTGTTCGGCGGTTCGCTCACGCGGTCCCGCGCGCAGGTCGGCGTCCTCGTCGCGGTCGTCGCCGTCGGCGTCGGCTACTACTTCTACTCGCTGCAATAGACGGGCTACGAAAATAAGAACTGTGGGCCGGCTTTGCTGCGGGTCGCGCGTCTGGGAGCGCGTCTTGCGTGCGGGCCCTCGGGAGGCCTCTTGGTTGTGGAAGGGCGACTCGTGACATCTGCGATGGGCCGGCCGTTTTCGCTACTACGCTGCACGGCTATGCTCGCGCTCGCAACACTCACAACAGCGCAGACGCACGGCTGCGTCGCTCTGCTCGCAGCAATGGCACTCGCACCGGCGGCTGCGGCGTCGCAGAACGTCGCATCGATGTTCGCCCTGGCGACAACGGCGGCGGCGCTGCGGCCGTTCGGCGCACGCATCCACGGCGCACCCCTGCGCAGCGCAACTGTCGCCAGGAGCGCATCCCCGCCGCGCAGCGCGCGCAGCGCAAGCTTCCTCGCCGCCACGACGCTCGACCTTCCGGCGGACGCCGCCGTGCGCGACGCGGCCGTCCGCGACGTCGCGAGCATGGACGAGCTCGACGCCGTCGTCAAAGCGGCGGAGGACGGGCGGCTCGTCATGGTCGAGGCCTACGGCAGCAACTGCCCGAAGTGCAAGCGCATGGCGCCCGAGTTCGAGGCCTGGGCGCGGTCGCGCCCGGACGTCGACGCCGTTTCGGTCAACCTCTCCAAGGTCTCCGGCGCCTACACGGCGTTCGGCGGCCCGAAATCCGTGCCCGCCTTCTTCGCCTACGCCTACGGCGAGCGCGTCGACGATTTGGGGGGGCAGCAGGGCGTCGGCGCGCTCGAGGCCTACGCGGCGGACTGGGCCGACGCGTGCGGCGACGAGGACGAGTGCGACCTCGACGCGTCGATGTTCTCCTAAGCGTAGAGGGCGCCCCTACGCGGCGGACTGGGCCGACGCGTGCGGCGACGAGGACGAGTGCGACCTCGACGCGTCGCTGTACTCCTAAGCGTACAGGCCACCGACGAGCGACCCCGGCGCGGGTTTCGGGCCCCGGTCGAGGCGCTCGAGGAGCGCGCCGCGCATCTTGCCCGTGAGCTTCACGAAGGGCACGTGGCGCGGCGTTTCCGTCTCCGCGCAGAGGTAGTCCGCGAGGAGCGCGTCGTTCCAGTGGACGAGCTTCGACGCGACGTAGAAGGGCCCGTCCTGGGCCTTGGACAACGCCAGATCGTAGCGGCCCTCGCCGCCGGCCTGGAGGACGGCCTGCGCGGCGACGTGGACGACGAGGTACGCCATGTACTGCGGCGGGAACTTGGCGAGGTCGAGCTTTGGGAGCACGTGCGCGAGGTACGCGTCCGTGTCCGCGAATTTGCGCGCCGCGGCGTCGAACTCGTCGAACCAGTCCCGCAGGAATCTGCTCCCGGGCGGCGCGGCCAGGAACCACGACTCGACGACGCGGACGTCCGGCCGCGAGTTCCAGCCGGCCATGTAGTAGCCTACGCCGCAGCGTTTCTCTTTTAAAAAAGCGGGTCGCGACGCCGGGACCCGCCGACGAAGTCCGCCGCCTTGCGCTGCACGAGGCCGTCGAGGGGCCGCAGCAGGATGACGCTCGCGTCGAGCCAGACGCCGCCGTAGCGGCTCAGGAGGTAGAGCCGGACCTACCGCGGTGTCGTTTCCCGGCGAAGAAAAATTTCGGACGCCGGGCCTCGACCCAGTCGCTCTTCTGCGCGGCGGCCATGGTCCGGAACCGCGGCGGCGGCCGCTCGCCGGGCCGCAGGAGCGACGGGAGCGACGCCAGCGTGACGGCCCGCACGGACCAGGCCGCGTTGAGCTGCTGGAACCGGAAGACGCAGCGCTTGACGAGGTCGGGGATCGCCGCGCCGTCGGCCCAAAAGGTCCAGGCGACGCGGGGGATGTTGTCGCCGACGTCGTCCCGCGGCGCCGCGGGCGGCGCCGCGGGCCCGCGCGCCGGCGGCGGCGCGGCCGCGAGCCGCCGCGCCCAGGCGATCGCGGCGGCCGCGGCCGCGGCCTCCGTCGCCTTGTGGACCGCGGCGTCGCCCGGCGGCGCGAAGGGGCGGCCGAAGGCGACGCGCACGTCGCAGGCGTCCGCGAGCGCCGCGACGCGCGGGTCCGAGCCGGTGCCGCCGACGACGCCGACGATGGGCACGGGCAGCCCGCGGACGCGCGCGACGGCCGCCGCGTCGTCGGCGCTCAGCGGCGCCGTGTCGCCGTCGGTCTCCGCGAGCCGCAGGACCAGCACCTTGCAGTCCAGAGTTTCGAGTTCGTGCAGGAGCCTCGCGGGGTCCGCGACGTCGATGAACCCAATGGCACCGTCGCCGTCGTCGAGCGCGACGCCGCCGAGCCGCCGGCCCAGCGCCTCGAGGCGCGCGTC